CAAGCCCGCGGCCAGGGTGGTCGTCGCAAGATGCGGCGGGGACGAGCGGCACCAGGTCCGGGTACCTCCTCAGCCAGGGTCCACGTCGTGGCCGAGGAACCCCAGATTTTTGACGTGTGGCACACCAATAGACTTTCATCGTCTGTGCCACCTTGGTGTCAGTTGAAATCTGCGGCCACCCCATCACCATGCAGCTGGACACAGGGACCAGCGTGTCGGTCATGCCTGGGAAGCTGTTCAAGCGGACCTTCCCTGGCGTGTTCATTGAGGCGTCGGACGTCATGCTGCGCAGCTATATACTCCGGTCAGCTTTCCCAGGTCCAGGGTCGGGCCCAAGTCAGCGTTCGCCTTGGCAACAGGGAGTCAATCCTTCCGCTTTATTTAACCAAAGGGTCGTCGCCGATGCTGCTGGGCCGGAACTGGATTCACGCACTGGGTGTTCGGCTGCCGGAGTACCAGGAAGCTGCCCTGCACGTGGTGAAAGACGTCCCGAGCCTCCTGACCGACTTCCAGTCCCTGTTCCAGCCGGGGGTGGGCACCTTCGCCGGCACGACAGTCGGCATCAATGTACCCGAGGGAGCCCGGCCTCGGTTCTTCAAGCCGCGTCCGCTGCCGTTCGCCCTGAAAGACGGGGTCACCCAGGAGCTGCAACGGCTTCAGCGAGAGGGGATCCTGGTGCCCGTCAGGACTTCCGAGTGGGCCGCACCAATTGTGTAGTCCTCAAGCGAGACGGCCGCGTCAGGATCTGCGGGGACTTCAAGGTCACCATCAACCCCGTCGCTACCGTCGAGAAGTACCCGCTGCCTCGGATAGAAGATCTCTGGTCGGCTCTGTCCGGGGGACAGAAGTTCTCCAAGTTCGACCTTCGAGATGCCTATCAGCAGCTGGTGCTCCAGGATGCCGCCCGGAAGTATGTCACCATTTCGACTACCATGGGACTCTTCCAGTACACTCGCCTACCGTTCGGTGTGGCCTCAGCCCCAGCCATCTTCCAGAGGGAGATGGACAACCTATTCAGGAGCTTAAGGCACGTGGCGGTGTACTTGGACGACATCCTGGTTACCGGTACCGACAATGGGGACCACCTGCAGAACCTGCGCAAGGTCCTGACACGATTGCAGGACGCCGGTCTCAAGCTGAGGCTGGGCAAGTGCGTGTTCTTGACCCCTAGCAAGGAGTACCTGGGACATATCATCTCCCAGGCTGGCCTGGCCCCGGCACCCCGCAAGATTGAGGCCGTGCTCAAGGCGCCGAAGCCCAAGAGCAAGAAGGAGCTTCAGAGCTACCTTGGCCTCCTCAACTTCTACAGGAGGTTCCTGCCCAACCTGTCGACGCATCTAGAGCCGCGGCATCACCTGCTTTGTGACGGTCAGCAGTGGGCCTGGAAGAAGGAGCAGGATTTGGCCTTCTAGCGGAGCAAGGAGCTGGTCGTTAAGGCTCCAGTGCTGGTGCACTTCGATCCGGCCAAGCCTGTAGTCCTCACCATAGATGCGTCGCCGTACGGGGTAGGAGCCGTCCTGTCGCACCGGGGTCAGGATGGTCAGGAACACCCTGTGGCGTTTGCTTCTTGTCGGCTTCATGCGGCGGAGCAACGCTACAGCCAGCTCGACAAGGAAGGCTTGGCCCTAATGTTTGGGGTCGAGCGCTTCCACCAGTACCTGTAGGGCCGGAAATTCGAGGCGGTCACGGACCACAAGCCACTACTGGGGCTGCTGGGGCCTGACAAGGCAGTCCCAGTGCAAGCATCGCCTCGTGTGGTGCGCTGGGCCTTGACGCTGGCGGCCTACAGCTACAAGCTGGTCTACCGCCCTGGGAAGGACCTGGGACCTGCCGATGCCCTGAGCCGCCTGCTTGTGCCGGAGGTGCCTGCTGCCGTTCCAGAGCCAGCTGACGTATTCCTGCTGGAGCGGGCCCACCCGGGGGTGCTTACCAGGACTGCGGTGGCGCAGGCGACCAGCCGGGACCCGGTCCTGTCTCAGGTAGTCAAGGCGGTTGCCCGAGGGGAGGAGCTGTGTCACCAGGCGTACAGCCACAAGACCGCCGAGCTGAGCTTGGAGCAGGGCTGCCTGCTGTGAGGTTCCAGGGTGGTGATTCCACAGAGTTTCTGGGCGAAGGTCCCCCGCAGGGGGCACCTGTGAAAGCAGGTGTTTGGAGAGTGGCGTCTCCGCGGACCCCGAGCCGTGCGGGTTCGCCCGCCCACGTCTGGCTGTGCGTGGCTTTCCTGTGTCCGTGGAAAAGGGCATCCTGGTGGTTGAGTCGAACCCGGGGTAGGTTTGGACCCTTCGGAGCCCCCCGGGTGAGGCAATATACCACTTCGGCCCCCGCTTCCCGTAGACGGGTGTCCTGGCTTGGCCCGACCAGGATGGTTCAGTCAGTCGCCATTTCTTCTACTATCCCCTCTTTTCTTCCTCTTTCCTCCTTGCTCCTATTCTTCGTTTTCACCTTCTTTGGGTGCAAGGGCTAACCTTGGGTGGCGACAGAAGTGTCGCCACCCAAGGTTGCCTTTATGCCTTATGCCTTTACCCAAGGTAAAGGCATAAATAAGTGTGGATCTCTTGATCCACACTTATTTATAGCATCCTAGTAGCACTGATAGAGTAGCATACTCAGACAAGCCAGACCTGTTATGAGATGTTTCCTATCCCCTTGTTGGACTCCGCGGTGGGTGGTGCGCTACGGATGCCGAAGTTTCTGCCCTTCATATGGGTTCCAAGCAAAAAACCTCCCCCGATCGGACCCTAAAGAGGGTCCGGACCGAAGTATTTAACAAAGAGACATCAGCTGCTGCCCAGAATAGCTTCAGCCACTTTCTGGTAATACACTCAGAAAATGAAAAACCACTTGCCAAACTTTCACCGTCTCTTATTTCAAAGACTTTAGAAAACCTAATTGGTAAAAACTTCAAAGCAAAGAAACTAGCATCTTGCGACTTGCTCGTTGAGGTGGAAAACGGAGTGCAAAGTGTTGTTCTTTTAGACTTAAACAAGAACTCGGACTACAAAGTATCTGTCACCCCACATCGCACCTTGAACAGCTGCCAGGGCGTCGTCTCAGAGGACGACCTGCTGGAATCTGGCGAAGAGGAGATCTTGGAGGGCCTTTCCGGGCAGGGTGTGGTCGCCGTGCGACGCATCTTCATACGCAGAGACTGACAGGAGAGACCATCGAAGCACTTAGTCCTCACTTTTGCTTCCACTGTGCTGTCCGAGAACATCAAGGCAGGCCATCTTCACTGCAAGGTACGCCCCTACATACCAAACCCGAGACGATGTTTCAAATGCCAACGATTTGGTCACAGCTCTGTTACCTGTCGTGGGAAAATAACATGTGCAAAGTGCGGAGCTACGGACCATCCAGCTGACGCAGGCGAGGGTACACTTCTCAAGTGTGTCAACTGCTCTGGTGCCCACCCCACTTACTCTCGAGCCTGCCCAAAGTTTCAGGAGGAAAAGAAAATCCTAACACTAAAAATCAAAGAAAACCTCACTTACCCTGAGGCGAGGAAGCGATTTTCCTTCCTCCAAGGAGGCACCTATGCCGAGGCGGTTGCCAGGGGGGCAGCGCCGCCACTAAAGGCAACGGTGGGCACTCAGTACAGTCTTCGCGACTTGGAGTGCTCACCCAGCCCCCCAACCACCAGCGAGGCCTCTGTGGGTTCTCAGACCCCAGCGGCCCTGCCCAAAGCCCCATGTGCCAGGACGGTTCCCCATCATCCTGGCCCTAAGCCCCGAGTGGTGCTTGACACCACTCCCTCTCAGAGCAGCGAGGGGCCCACTCCTTCCACTTCACAGCGGGAGGAGGAGGCCATGGAGGTATCTGTTGATCCAACAGAACCACCTCCACCCGCCAAGGGAGGCACAAAGCATACCCCCGAAAAGGGGGACCAAAAGAAAAAACCTCCTCGAGTCACTGCCCCGAGTGTACCATAGCTTGTGTCCACTCGCAACTGTGAACCCCACAATTTTAACTATAATTTAATTAATCTGTGATTAGTCATTTTAGTTTCATGCAGTGGAACTGTCGGGGTCTCCTTCATGATATAGATGATGTTCACTTTTTACTTAATGAGCTACGCCCAATAGCTTTAGCATTACAGGAGACCTATTTGACGTCCACACATACCCAAGTTTTACGAAACTATCACCTCTTCCGGAAAGACCGCCCATCTCGTTCATCCGGTGGTGTTGCCATTGTTGTGCAGCGTGGAGTGGCATGTGCCCAGGTCCCCCTTGACACGCCCCTTGAGACTGTGGCAGCACGAGTTCTTACGGACCGCCTCATTACTGTTGTCTCACTGTACCTTCCACCACACACCCCCGTACATATTCATGACCTCCAGAAGCTTTTAACTCAACTTCCACAACCTTTTTTAATCTTAGGTGATTTTAATGCTCATCCCACCATGTGGGGCAGTGCACGAGTTTATTCCCGCGGAAAAGTGATTGAACGGTTTTTATTGTCTTCAAATTTATGTCTTTTAAATAACAAAGCCCCAACCTTTTTTAGTGCTGCACACAACTCTTTCACCTGCATTGATTTATCTATTTTATCACCGTCATTGTTTCCTTGCTTTTCTTGAAAGGTTTTACATAATCCATTTGGCAGCGACCATTTTCCAGTCGTTTTAGAGAGTGTGGTTGACGTTTCAGCCTAGCTGCTACACTTGATGCTTCACTATTGGCCACTCTGTCCCCTGATGAGGCTACAACATATGTTACTCAACAGATAGTCAATGCAGCTGAGCACTCTATCCCACGTACCTCCGGTAATTTGCCAAAAAAGTGCAAGCCATGGTGGAACAAGGACTGTTCAACCACACTTACAAGACAAAATAGAGCCTGGGATGTCTTTCGTCGGTACCCCACCATGGACAACAAAATTGAATTTAAAGGGATTGTCCGGCGAAAACCGGAAGTAGTTAACCTTTTGTGCTGATTACGTAGAGGAGGCCTCAATATACATGTTTCTTATTTTTATTTCACTATATGATGCTCGACTATTCGTAAAAACTGATATAAGAGTAGATACGATACTGCACGTCAAATTTCGCCGATATCAATGGCCGTCACCTGAAGCTGCTACGTGACTTCACAAAACACAAGATATCGTCGCATGTAGGCTTGCGTGTAGGTATCGCAGCTTTGGAAGTCAGTCGTCGATCGATATTTTATATTTTGTTTCTTATTATATGACCTGTTAGGCTGTACCCTGTCGAAATACGCCTCTTGTGATGAAATTCTGACGTGTGTGGGGAAAAAGAAGACCGCGTCTCTTAGCGGGATATTACTCGAAAACAGCCGTGTGCTTCGAGCGAAGAAACGTTGGAGCGAAGGAGGTTGGAAAAATATGCTGTACCTGCAGTTTTCGTGCACACGCAACGGCGACGGCGACCAATCGAACGAGGAACGCTTGCCAAGAGAAGGATGCAGGTAAGAGTGCTTTTCGTAGCTCTGAAAAAGCAATCAACCATCTTCCCAAGTACTCGTTTGAGGTTTTTGCGTGAGCTGTGGGAGCATGCAGCGCGAGCGGGAATGAGCGCACTAATGCCCCCTTGAACGAGCGCTTCTGCTGTGGGAGTAGACACCAGCCAAGCCAAAAGTATAGGTGAAGGAATCAGCGGGGAAGCTTTTGACCTCGGATGGCAATCTTCATAACGGACGAACGCTACGATGACAGCACGGTGACGAGGATTTTATGGTTTGTGGAGCTCGGTAACTATCTTGGGGGAAAGCGCGTACGCTTTTCATTCAAACGTATCGTTCAGTGGCTTCACGGCAGATATTTTACTTAGGATTGAGTGATTTACAAAGCCATGTGCGTCGTTTTATTTTCAATAGCGACTAGCCCGGTCGTTTCTAATGAGACAGAGAAATCGGCTCACAAGCGTCAGAGCATGAGTTCTTGAGATATATATTGCTAAAAATAGCACAACTATTCACCGAAGCTTGACTCCCTGACATATCATCTACTGCCAGCCATGTCAGGAGGGTGCGCTCTGTCTCTGCAACGAATATTGAGAATGCACGGAGAGAAACCTGAAAATCAAAAGAGACGCATATATTTAGATTTTGCCGGCAGCCGGCACAGCAGCCCATGAAAAAAATTGCTGGCAGTGGTTCCCCATTGGCTGGTTTTAATTACCTGACTACTGTGGGCATAATGTTGCGGTTGATAATTAGGGTTGTTCGTTTTCGGGTGAAACCCGATTTTACCCGATTTTTACACCCCGAACATGTTTCAGGAGAATTGGGTTAAACACAATTTCTCCCCGAAGTCCAAAACCACATAACCAATCTATTTATTTTTACGCCACACGGAGTTTGCGGTGCACACACGCCATCTACCCTACCTTGGGACAGCAGTGACCTATAGTTCATTTCGCAGGCTGCTTGCAGCACTGTGGACGCTACACGGCTCTCAACCAACCGCCCAATGAGCACGCCCAACTCACCGCGACATTCTACAGAGGCCGGCTGAAGAAAAGCGACAATAGGCGTTGGGGCCTCGGAGGGACATTTCCGTCCCCCCACCGTGCAGTTGGAACCGGCTCGGCACGCCACATAGCTTCGGCCCTTCTGCACGCAGCTTGTGAAATGCACTATCAATCCCTCTTCGACCGCTGTTAAGTGTCGACGCCCAGCAGGGTCTCGGGTAGCATGGCCATCTCGCTGGCGGTCTACCTTTCTCACGAACAACGTTTGAGCCAGTCAGTCCTGTAAACAGATCGGGACGACTTAACAGGTTTATTCCATGGCGAAATATCTGATTGAAGGTGACCGTCCATCGAACGGTCGGGGTTCTTGTTGACACCTGAGGGGGAGGAGGATTCCGTGGGCGGTGCTTCCCTTGAAGCGACGGACGGCAGTCGGAGCTGGAAAACCCTGATGTCCTTCCGATTACCAGCTTGAAACAGATCCCCAATTTTAACACGTTGGCATTAAGGAGCTCGTGATACCCTCCAATAATAATTAAAAAAAAACAAATGTTTTACTGAGTACATTTGTAGATTTAACCCGAAAAAACCTGAATTTCGGAATGTTTCCACCAAAAACCCGATTTCTCCCCGATTATCAGCGTGAAAAATAGCTCTCGATTTTTACTCCCCGAATTTCAAAAAAATATAAAACCCGAAAACGAACAACCTTATTGATAATGTGCCGGTAGCAAGCAAAAAGAATGCCGGCTGGCAGCTCTGATGAAGATTTTCAGTAACACTCATTCATTCTTTGCGTGTATACATATCATGCCAGTTTGCATACTGGGACTGTGTGAGTTTCCCAAAAACACAACATTCCAAGATAGTGTATTTATCTTTCACTATCAATAAAATATAGAAGTAGAAAGGCGGCAAAGGTCAGCAACACAACGAAGGTTAAAACTTGCTCATGTGTGTATTTTATCGGTTTATATTTATTAGGCCATTCGGACAGCGTGAGTATTCTGTCACAGCATAGGATCATCTCTTACACGCTGTAGATAGAAAAAAATTGACGTAGTGCATACGACTGCTATCCTGGGGCTTCTACCATTTGCAACACAATATAGTACACAAATTAGCGAACACGAGTACAATGTATCCACACACGAAGCTCGCAAATTTGTGGTGCACTAACCTAAGCCCCCCATGAACTAAGGAGCAATGTAATCTAAGTCCCAACCCAAACCGCCCCTCCTCCCCCCTCCCCCAAGAACCGTAGTACTGTAACCCAGTTTTAGACAAACCACAAGAGGCGGCAAAACCCAACCCGCAGGTATTGCTGCCCGACCAGCAACAACAAGGCCAGCCGGCCAATAAGAGGACACTGATGTTAGTTCATTTAGTGCAAAGGTGCAGGCGAGCTGGATAAGAATGAAGAGTAAAAACCCCTTTGAGAAGGTGAACCAGCGAGAAACACAAATCTGCAAAAAACAGCCGGCAGTTTTTTTTAACCCAAGCTGCTATGCCGGCTGCTGGCAGTATATGCACTCCCAATAAAAATTAATGTTACCTTGATTGTGTTTCCATGTCAGCAGTTTGTTGAGGCTGTTTTCCTCCGAGGATTTGAGAATGCATTCCCAGACATTGGACACCCTTCAATAACTTGTTTTAAGTTACAAAATCAAGCAGCTGATGGTTGTGATCCCACGCACTGCTCTTCACCAGTTGATCTAGCCAAGGTTAGTGGCATATGGAGTACTCTTGATTGATGTATTAAAAAGTAATGTGCAACGAAACTCAGTAGTTTCAAGGTAATAGCAAATGACAAAATAGAGAGCTGGGCGATTTGGTATGAATTCTGGCTGCAACGCAAAAGACGTGGATTGAGGAAGAAGACAGGACGAGCACTGCCGTGTCTTCTTCCTCCGTCCTCGTCTTTTCATGTTGTAGCCAGCATAACAAATGGTTACAAATGATCTAAAGCTAACTACTCTATAGCCCTTAAGGACAAAGGAAGTTTGTTGTCAAGTCATTGGGAGCCAGGTGGTAAGAGTTTCGATCCTGGCAACCAGAAACACATTGGCTCATTGTTGCTGGTATTGGCCCCGGTTGATGAATGCGTTTTTGTTTTCACAAACGAGTTGCATGCGAGCCAACAAAGAATTTTTGTAAAAACAGCGGCTGGTTTCAGGTGCTCGGAGGCTGATGCTCCTACAGTTGAAGCTCACTGGCCCGACAAGAACATCACTCGACTCGTCATCTTGCCCCAATGGATGGCAGCTGCAGTTTGGATGGCTACGCATGCTACTCCTTGCTGTTGGAAGCAACCCAGGAAGGTAGAAGACTTTACTAAGTAAACATTTTGTAGTTAGTAGCTATTACGCATTTCCGAGTAAATTCCACTGCATTCTGCTTGACACTATGAATAAACAAGTCACATTCTAGGCTCATGGCACTGTGCTAAACTTGTCTGTATTCTTGATAGGCTGCATACCACCTCCATGGTGCAGCCATGCAGACACTAAATAGCTCCACTCTAGCGGGCATTTTTTTCTGAGGAGCGCTTGACTGGTGGGATACATTTGTATTACTGCTGATCTCGGGACTCGCCCATGTGAGGAAGACGGAGGAGCCCATCAGCGCAAGCCAACTGCCTATATCTCTATCTTTGTCACCATAGTCTCAGTGAAAGGAGGGAGAGGATTCTGGAAAACAATCAAGCTCAGAGATCACTATTGATAGGGCCGGATAGTATAAATAAATAAAAATAACTACGAGCCATTTTTACAGCACTTTGATCCTGTCTGCTTCATGTGGATGAGTCCCGACGTAAGCAATGGTTATAACAAGGGTTCCGCATTTTCGGTTTCTGTGTTTTCGAAATTCGGCATACTTTTTTTGGTGTTTATTTGAAAATTCAATTTTCGTTTTTGTTTCGGCGTATATTTATGCCCACAAAAGTATCGGCTTTTTTCGGTGAATATAAAAAAACACCGATGGACACCGGATCAGATTATCCTTGTAGCTCAGATATTTGTGATCACTAAAAGAATAACGGCACAGATACATTGAAAAAGAGAGGGACACTTTATTTGGCATATGTGTGCAACTGTTACAGAAACAAAAAAACACAGAAGTACAAACAGGTCAGTTGTGAAGCCTATGCCCAAAATCATGGAACTTCACCTTTTGTATATCAGGATTACCGTGATTTTATTATAGTACACACACACATGTACTTTCCCAGGATCTCCTCATTGATCCGCACTCTTTCATTCCTTTAAATATGACACTGACCTTCGAGGATGCCCTCTCAACGCTGACACTACTGGCAGGCTGAGGAGATGAAGCGCTGCCTGAGCCAAAATCAACCAATCAACCGATTGTGACCACCAAAAGAGACACGTTGCGACGTTTTGAATCACAACACAACATGCAGAGCTTGCATCAAGTCAGTCTTCCTTGCAACGAGTTTGAAAACATGCTCGTACATGGCAAAGTCATGGGGCATTTCGGACTTCACATTCCAATCGATGATGCGCACATTAAACCATAACGTCGTGATGGCACCCGTGTATCTCATACATTCGGACTCGTTTCGATGGACACTGTCGTTCCACTTTTCCGCCATGGCTCAGCAGTACGACTGGAAGGTCAAAGTGACCTTTTCCAGTTAAAACTAAATTTTAGAAAATGGATTCAACATACTTTTATCAGTTTAAATCAAAAATGCCGAACCTAAAAATTGACCTTTTTCGGTTAAAACCGAATTCCGAAAATGGATTCGGCATACCTTTATCGATTTAAACCGAAAAATCCGAACCGTAGTTATAACGTAAGCTGCCATTCAAGCGCTCCTTAGAAAGAAAAAAAAATAACACCCGCTCACGTAGGGCTATTTAGTATCTTCATCACTGTACACCTTAATCGGTGGCAACACCACAACATATTGATTTTGTCTCCCAAGCAAACGTCAATGTTGGCAGATGGACGTTTTTTTTCAACCCATGGCATGCCGAGCTTTGCTCAAAGGCGGGCACGCAGCGCAGCATGGTTCTTTTGAACGAGGCGGAGGCATGTAGTGACAGAGAGAAAATGTTTATTAAAATGAAAACAGCTCGGCTGGCTCTTCAGATTTACCATGTCGTGGATCTACTGGATCGGGAGTGGCAGTAGGTGGCAGTTGGAGTACTGAAAATCGTAAAAACAGAATTGTAGGAACAAAAAGCATTACAACTGTGCAATTGCAGTGTTAGTGCAGTTAATAAGTGCTACCTGATTTTGAGACATTGGGGTTATTAGGAATTGGGTGTACCAAGTTGTGAACCATCATTCTGCACAAACTTCAAATGCTACCTTATGGCAGTAGCTGTATATGCCCCATACCCCAGCCAATTGGTGGTGTGTGACTGTGATTGTTGCGACAGTGTGGGTTGCCTAGGCAGCAACAGTGGAGAGAGTAGCGTGTGAAGCTGCGTGCGTCTCGTGTGACAGGGGAGGAATTTGGCTCTGTATCCGGCGGCTTGCAAAGTGGCAGAGGCAGCTCTTCATCAGCAGGCTGAGCAGGTACCTCAGCAGAAAGCAGCGGCTGCCAATGCATGGAGAATTCGGCGGATGGGCTGCCAAGGCTGCAGTGTTGCAGCTTCGATGAGCTCAACAGATGGACAAGCAGCGAGAACAGTGGTGAATGTGTAGACTTTCTGTGAACTTTACCGTAATATAGGGTTGTGATGTGTTTGTGTAGTGAGGGGATTCCACGACACACTCAAAACAGTGTAGAATGTGTGAACATTCTGATAACATCGTAGTTAACTTATATGCGGCATATAGGCCTGTGATATGTGTGTGTGTGGTGTGCTGATTGTGTAAAACTGTATAGGCTGCTCTGCTTTCATGTCATTGTTATTGTCATGTCAGTGTTATTGCCTTCATCACTTGTGCGACTTTCAATGAGGTGTCCGTTATTGCTGTATGGAAAAAATTGCTGTTGGTTGTCTGTTATGACAGTTAGTTGTGCCAATCTGGTCAGCTTTCCATTTATGGCAATTTGTTGGTTTGATGCAGTGTCATACTTTGCCATAAGGTTTGCCTGTGTCATTATTTTTACCCTAGTGACCATTTGCTGAGCTTTGGTCTCTTGTACTGTTGTGGGAAAATGCTTTTGCAATCAGATTTTGTGACTGAAAATGCTGTTGGCTTTGAATAGACATACATATCTTGCAGTTTTGTCATATCTTTTCTTCAAAGGGGCAATTATTAACATGCATAATATGCGGAAAAGTAAAGTGATGTTATTTGTTCACAAAAAGCCTCTACGATTTGGTACATTTTATTCATCCATAATCTGACAGTTCCCATGGCTTTTGAGTAGACGTCCATACTTAGTATCTGCTTGTCATAAACATAGTTTGAGGTAAGTGCTGTATTTTTTATAAAGCAGGGAATTCTGCAACGTGGGAAAGTTTCACAGAAAAACCAACCCATGTTCAAGTCAATAAGCTATGTGCCCTATTATTTGCAATTATAAATTTATTTTATGGTGCTTAATTGTGGTGTTTAATTGTTTGATAACATACCGTAAAATACTGGGCAAGCGCCCATTTAAAATTTTGAGGTAGTAATGAAAAAATGGGGGATGGGCGCTTGTCCGGTCATCAATTCTACATATAAAGGTACTGTGCATATTTTCTCAGATCTTACAAATTTGGGTGTGGGCGGATGCACGGTATTTTACGGTACTTAGTAAAGTTACTGGCAAGGTAACTTTGAAGGAGCATTCAGGTGTCCTCCCTGCTGCCATTTGTAGTGTCATGACTGCATAAGCATACTTGTAGCTAATGTGATGCCACATGCAGTCAGTGCACTGTAAAAGGCAATGTGCATGACCAGGAATTTCTGACCGCTCCCTTCGAGGTTCTTGTCACGTCGGTGATGATAGCTTCTAGCTCAATTTGCCTTTTAATTGCACTAAACATAACATGTTTGACAATGTACCGTGCTACAAACAAGACAGCAACATACTTGGAAAACTCACCTATGGCCACGAAAATAGTTGGTAAGACGGTGATGGAAAGGCCTCCCGTATCTTTCTCAGGACGCAACCTGGCAAGCGATGGCGATTTGACCTACCGCAGTAGCGCCACACCCAGCTCACGAACACCCGGTATGCAGTGTACCTCAGCTTTCTGCATGGAAATAACGAGCTTTATTACAGAAAGTCGTAAAGCTACTATCACAGATTTATATGCGCTGAGAGTCAAATGAAGATTTCTTGACTTATTTTGATCCTAGTAATGTACCCGTATTCCCAAATATTTGCATAGGCGAAGTGATCTTGGTCCTAAGTTTACATACCTGTTTTTATCGTTCGTCTCCATAACTGTAGGAGTGAAATGCTCCATCATCAGAGCATGAACCTCCAACGATTCTCGATGAAGGCGTAGCACCCGAAACAGATCGTTGCGGGTGATGCACCCCTCCCGCAGCAGTGGAGCCATTTTCTCGATTTCCCCACAGCAAAGGTCTTCGTCTGGCAGCGTCGGCCGACAAGAGCTACAAGAGCACCTGTATAAATAGGCAGTAAATAACTGGCGACAAGACATCAAGACCAGACGAACTGTAAATAATTTCAGGGACCACCGAAAAGAAACATTATCAAGTTTCTCGCTCCTGCGCTCTGGCAATTTTGCAATCCCAGGTATTAGAACAATTGCACCAAATTAAAAGGAGATGGCACCTGTGACAACAAATTTTTTTTAGAATTAGTTGGAAAAGGCATAAACGCACACACCATTCTGCCTCCGAACAATCCGAGTCCACATATCGACGGATCGGGAACGCGGCCGCGGCCCTTTCTCTCGGAGGCGATGCCCGCGGGTCGAAGGCAAACGGGGATTCGTTGTCATAGTCAAAATCCTCTAATATTTCTAGATTGTCACTAGACTCTGACGAATCTGAAGAATCGCAGCGACGCTCCATTTCCACGCGCGGGTGATCACACGAGTACCCCGTCGCCGAAAGACAGAATCGGGTTACGCACGTGCGAATGTTTGCAGCGCTTTTGACGTCATTTCAAGATGGCCGCCCTGTCAAGTTGCAGAATGGTTTCGGTTTCGCCGCATAATTGTTTTCAAATAAGGGTACTTCGTTATGATCCTCAAAAGAATATGAATAGCTAAACGGCTAAATTCAACTTGATATAGCCCCCCTTTCTTTATTCCTATTTGCTTGCAAAATAGTTTATTTTGGTTACAGGGCAATTTCTTTTCAGATATAACCGTTTCTCTACGCTCAAGTTTTCGGGATATTGCCGCGTGCGATCGAGAATATACGCTTCTCCGTTCATCCAGAAGATTACGCTCGGGAGAAGATACCCCGAGCGTAAACGATAAGAAGGCCAGAATGACGTTTTCTAGTCAGTCTCGCCCTAGCTTTTTCGGAATATAAAGGGCCGAGCGCGGTATTGCCGATTCATTCACCGATTCTCTTTCGCGATAGCCAGTTACGTCGACGCACCGTCGCCTGCCGCTGCCAACGCTCGCTGCAGCCGCAAGAAATATAATTATTCAAAATCATCTAAATTGAGGATAAAGTTCCCTTTTATTCCTATTTGCTTACAAATTAATTTCGGTTCTGGTTACGGTTCCCCCCTCTCTCCTTTGAGATATAATTGCTGCTCCACTCTCCAATTAGTCATAAATGGCTGAATTTACCATAACACTTTCCTCTATTCCTATGTTTCAAAAATGGTTTCGGCTTCGGTTACACCGCATAGCAATAATTCTGCAGATATCCCTGCTGCTCTAGGCTAACATTCTCATGATCGCTCAAGAAATATAATTGGTGATTTATGTGAGGAAACACATATTTCGGTCAGCATAATAATCAGCACTCAAGCTTGGTACTTCCGGTAATGAAGGAGCAAACATGCTCGGGAAAGAACCGTCTATGGGTCCGTAAATTTACTGGCCAAGCACCTGCGACCCTTGCATACACCGTCAAATATTGCACAGAAAGAAAATCTCGTGGTTGATCTGCAAACTAACCGGACATAATTACCATCGCCTTCGTATATTTTTTACAGAAAAATAGCTACCACCCTTCATAGTGTGCAAACCCTTTCCGTCTAGATCAGCCACCTACATTATATCGAGGGTCGGGCAGGACTGCCAGGGTGCGATCCCTGTGGCAAGTACCCCACCGCGAGCACGTTTGTGGCCATGCTCCTGGGTGTAGACCTCTCACAGCCCCCTCCCTCCTCTGCCCCACCCAATTTTAAAGCCACAACCTGGGACCAGCGGATTGCACCGCAGCAAGACGAACATCGGCTATGCACACTGCTCTACGAGCACATAAGGCTATTACCGAGGACGACCAAGGGCACACACCTGGAGCATCAGCTGCAGCGTCAGAATGAGATAACCCGGACGAGGATATTATCGAAATAATGGTTAATTCATTCATTCTACAATTTATATGGCATGAAAGCTGAAAATGGAAATGAAAATGCACAAGTAGCCTTGTGCATTATTTTTTTACTCCCAAATGCGCTCATGTGATTTTCTTGTCCCCACACTCAACCAATGACAGCCAGTGTGCGGCTGCTATGCCTCTGCAATTTACGTTTTCCATCGATTGGCACGATCCTCTTTTATATTCGTTACCTTTGTCAATGTCATGCTGACATTCCTATGCATGTCAGACACACTTTGACACACTTGCAAAGCATAAACAGCCAGCTGCAATTAATTAAGCGGTTGTCCCAAATTTCAACTGTCTTGAGCACCATGCTGTCTAGAGCTCCAAATTTATCAGGTTTTAACACTTGTTTGATATAAGTAACCAGAGTTGCAACATTACACATTTCAGATAAATCTTTTATAAACACGATCCTGCCTAATTTTATCTTTCGATAGTTGAAGTCCATCAACAACCGAAAAAAGTACAGACAAGTTCATTTCAAAACTGGCTTCACAATCAATAAGTTTCAAATGACATTATTTTGATTATGCTACAAAGACAACTATTCTGCCAAAAAGCCTTTGAGAGGAAACAAGACAGGTCTAAACAACAGCAACAATGGGAGAATTTTCTTCAGAACAGTTCCAAATTCAGAAAATACAGCACATATCATCAATTCGCAATAAACTCACAAAACTGCAGATATGAGAATTTAAAAAATTAACGATTCAAAATTGTCATAACTGTTCGACAGAGCTTTTCATAGTAAACATCACCAGAGGAAAATGGTGCCAGAACCGAGAGTTCATTCCAAATGCTCAATGAGTCAATGCAGTTATTCTGCCAGGGTTTAACAAATTTCATTAATAGCACAACATCCATCAACTGTGCTTGAGGTCAATGCTTGTGAAACCAATTTGAGCTCTTCGCAACACCTGAAAAATATTGCCCAGGGCACAGCTTCCTTTAGAACAACACAGAGCTTTCCACCAAAAAAAGCTTTCGTCAGTACCCCCCCCCCCCCCCCCAAAAAGAAAATCTAGTCTAGTCTATTGCTAAACAGCAAGACTTCATGCATATTCGCATCGGCAAAAGAAGTAAAAGTGTCCTCAGAGATGAAAAGCATGGCGGCCTAGTCCTTTGTCCACCTTGGGTGATCGGAAGTAAGAAAACAATAAGGTTTCCGAATCACACTTAGTGGCAGAGCATCCATGTTCTGGAAATGCTGAGAAACCGAAACTCAAGATACTTGACGCTACCAAGATGGCCACGTGCACGGTGCTGTTAGACCACCAAGCAATTTTGCATATGGTCTATTGTAAAGATAATGGCAAAGAAACATGAAAAATCAGTGTGTTGCTAACCGTCAACCAGTTCGGACGTGTCATACTTCTCAGCCCACACTCGTAACGAAAACACAGAAAGTAAGCTCAAGACTCTAGCACCAATCCAGGTTATGTCAAAGGTGCAAGTCCACCAGTGACTGCATCCTAGCCGACTGACAAAACCCACTTTACAAGATTCGTTGCCTCTGGTAGCGCGAGCGGTGGGCAGCAACAGCACTCTTCAAGTCTGGCCTCTCCGCCTGTGTGCTGCCCAGGGTAGCGCTTTCCAGTCTCGGGAGCGATGCCTTTGCTGTCTTGAAGGTTGGATACCTCGTAATCCGTTTGAAGACTCCCGCCAGAAGCTTCTCGATGTAGCCTAAAAATGTTGTATAATAAACATGCATCAGTTATGTATCACAATGTCTAGAAAGTAATTCCTAGGACATTGCAACAATCTCTTGATCTGCAAAATCTGAAATTTCTACTACCAGGCTTAAAGGGGCACTGAATATGTTTCTGAGCCCGTCTGTTCTTGGTGATAACTCACTCTACGGGCTCTAGGCATCCTAAAAATCAAAATCTTACAACCATACGCCACCTATTTCCCTATCAAAAAGGTAAAGAAAGATTGTATTTCTCAAGCGTACCATAGAATCCAAACCACTGGCAAGCCTGACCGAATGCACTTGTCAGCCAATTGTGAGCGATGGCTTCCCACGCGCATTGATCCGCATGCACGCTGCTTCTGACCTTGTTGATTCCATCCCCAGTGGTTTCACCATTTGCACTGTCGTAAGCACCTAATATCTCATTGTTGGAGTTAGAAATGCTACAAACGTAATCATGTTCTACTAATGATAAGAAATTGCGGACGGGATCCAAAGGAGCGAGAGGGAATATGATTTTCACAAGTATTGCAAGCGAATGCTCCGGGAGCAGGCGGGCGGACATATCACCTCAGCAAAAGAAGGCAAGGGAAAAAAGCCCATGATGATTAGAAAGCGTGCAAAACACAAGGACAAAAAGAGGGCACCTACAAGGACAAGTGCTTTTTAATCATCATGAACCACTACCAACTAGCCCAGCTTTCAACCCCGTTGCGGGGAGAAAGTAGTTTCTATATATTTCTATTATCACGGGCTTAATAAACGGTTTTGTCATGTGAAACGTTGAATGCATAATGGTATCCACTACATTTGTGTTTCTCAAATGGGGGTCCGCGAAGCGCTGGCTCATCAGACAAGCCCGGCAATTAAAGTTGTATTTTTTTCATATTGACATGAAACGTTCCGATTTTCGGGTGAGTTTTCTCGTGTGTATGTCAATCAGAGAAGTCTACTTCACACTAGCCCTTATTTCTATTTGTTTACTAAGTAATGATCATAATTAACCTAAACCTTTCCCTTCACCTCACCACAAAGAGTCCTCCATTATATCCGCCGATCCATAAGGAGTCCGTGAAACATCGATGATTGAGAACCACTGCGCTACACTATATAACAAAAGCAAGCATCTTCAAATACCTTTTTAGCAGTTTTTTTAAACAACCTTTTCATCTTTGTGTGAGCCTGTTCAGTGAGGACATTCCCAAACACACCTGTTTTGACTAGTGACAACTTCACATTGACACTTGCCTCGCTTTGTGGCAGTAAATGATGAAACAATCTAGTATTTATGACAGCAATTTTGAAACTGCAAAGCTGATGCAACTGTGACGTTGCTAGACAATTATGTAGATATGTAAATTATGTCTGCATGTATTGGCTGCAATGCCTCTAATTTTCACATGCAGTTTGTAAATGTAACATACCAAACTTCGTGTCTTCCTTAACAGGGACCACAGTCCACTGTTTGCGTCCTCTTGAAAACTTCAAGGCACACATGTCCTGGCCATCTTCTTCGATACGGGTCTTTCTGTCTGCATTGCAGTTAAAATGCAGTGCTGCAATGTACGTCCTGAAATCAACACCAATGTACAATAAATTATAACAGTCTTGATATCCTGCATAATGCAATGCCCACCTTGCCTGCAGTCCTTCGTAGCAGTAGCCAACAGACTTGGAAGCGAAGTGAACTAAAACACCGTGAAATGCCTCCAGTGAAAATGTCTGCTCGTCTGAGGAGAGCTTGGGTATGTCCCGGAGGAGGTGACTGGACAGGACCACCGATTCCAACTTTTTGAAGGTTTCGTTTCCTATAAGAGGAAAAGTATTAATGGATAAACATTCGCAAAACTAAATTCTGCTGTCCAAGGACTCACCCTCCTCAATCCAGAGTCGATCCTGTACTTCCCCATGCAGACACGCAGGGTGCAGCGAGTTGGGGTGATGGTGGACATCACAGATGTGTCGTGTGATCGATGTCCACTTTGCGAGGATGAGGTCCCCATGGTTGTCACTGGTGCGGGCACACCAGTAAAGATGTCTGGTGATGGTGTCCTGCCACCTTGCTAGGGCCTTGTGCTGTGGCGACTTGGCCAAAGCTACAATCTTCTTTTTGATGCCTGTAAATATTATTCGCTTTTGTATTTCCATGCATCAATTTAAGGGGAAGCTGAAACTCTTCATGAAAAAAATGAGTTAGAGGTGAATTTTACAGTATTTATATCCCATGAATCTGAATATCACATTCATTTTCCCAGAAGATGTAACTAAACACAAGAAAGCGCGAAAAACCTCTTACCAATCATGACGTCATACAAGGATATTTGGGCCGGTCAGCGCATGTCGCTCGCGTGGGCAGCGCATGCAATTGCAAGCTTGCCAGGTGTATATTCCTGCACAGACACCAGTCGTGATGTCTCTTTTTGACCTCTTTGAAAACAGCAACAGTGTGCGTGCATAGGTTTCACAGGCGCTGGAGATGCGCGAGAGCAGAGGTTCCAAAAACTCCTTGCATGACATCACGTCCTGGGAAGGAGGAGCCTCGGCGGTACTCTAAAAATTAATTTCTGCGGCATCCGTGCACTAAATTGACAGATAATCTCGATATTCGTGATCCTGGAGGTCGAATGAAGGCCACTGAAGTGTTTTTTTTCTCAAATACAGAACCGCTTCAGTTTCCCTTTAAAAGCAGGCTTAATCGAAGCACTGTTCCCAGTATTTTTAATACTAGGAGCAGCACTTGGGTCGGGCCTGCGGACCAAAACCTTTTTGATGCACTTGATGTTTAAGTATGAAAGTCTATGTCAAAGAGCTTATGCCCAAAGATGTACTAGGTCTGTTCAAAAAGTAAGCGACCCGAATTCGTTCCGCAGAAACAAATGAAGTGTGGACAGCATCCTCTGGTGGGAGGGTGGTTGGAACATTAAGGGGGCCCTGCAATCCTATTTAAGAGTCTACCTTTTTTGCAGTTTCCGTATCTCTTGTTATTCGGGCAAGCCAGTGGGCACGGAGAGAGTAACTAAATATCAGTGCACCTAATTTTAACCGGACAATGCAGAAGCCTCCTGCACCTACGGGGGTGCGCCATGGTACCAAACACACACGGCATGTGACGACATCGTGATGTCGGTCCTGGCCAGCTCCTGTCTTACTCCTGGTCAAAGCAGCTAAAAGCTTTTTTTTTAGTCCAAATACAAAATATAAGTGGCGCAAACCATTTAAATGATTCTTGGAAGTAGTTTTTGTTGAGTATTTTAGGTGAAAAAAGAAACAAATGCAGTTTATAAAGTACAAAAACAACAAATGACCCGTCGACATACCCACCACTTCACGGCCACTTCACGAGTGCGCGCACTCGGCCTTCCACGTCACTACGTCACACACAAACTAAGGGAGCGGAAGAACGACATTCATGCTTTCACATTCACAACTCAAAAGAAGTGCTCAAGTGTCCTAGGACTTTTTTTTTCCTTTTTTACACATTTCCCTGGGCTAATGAAGCGTGCAACTGTTGGGCCCCCAGCCGGATGATCTATATCTGGCGGAGGCACATTTGCAGCAAAAGGTTGTCTGGGGCTTATCTCGGGGAAGAACACTTATCATTGTTCACACTGTCGTGGGCCGGTCGCACTCTTGCCCTCAAGGCCAAGCAGAAATGAGGCTTGAAAACTGGCAACAGAGAGCAGTGCAGGCACAGAGAGGGAGGAGCAGTGGTCTCATAGTCCAAGATGGTAGAAAAGGGGGCACAAGAGCCAAAGCAGTGGCATCCACATAAAAAAAATGGCTCTGGCCAGAGAGCTTGTTTTGGAAGTATATGTCGGTAAAGAAGGGGACTTGTAGCAATTTTCTCATGGGATTCACATATTTTGTTTTGATATTGGCTTACCTTTGCTGACATGCCAGAGGTCGAAACGGTGCTGGACAAGGGGGTGCTCCCGCTTCATGTAGGCACTGACTTGCACATGCCTGTCAGTCACGATTACTTCCACCGTGAGACCCAGCTCCTCAAGGTGAAGCAAAGCTCTGGTCAGCCCCTCCAGCTCCATGTGGCAGCTCGATTTCACTTCGGTCGACTGAACAACACCCGATAAAGAAATGCAATGAACAGATGTAGCCCACAGTAATAATGCATTGCATGAATTAGCTCCCTATCTAGATGAAATTATAGGAGCAAAAAACTATAAAGTTAAATAATACTGACAGCATAAACAGAGGGACGTACAGAACAGCACATCTTTGGACGTTCAACACAAATTGCTTTATTAGGTGCCGGCATCTAGCCAAAGAGACCAAGGAGAAGGAGGAGAGTGAAAAGCAGGAACAAGGAAGGGTCAAGGCGGTAGGGGAGGATAACGGTGACAGACAAAAAAATTACAAGCAAAGGGAAAAAAAACACAGAAAAAAAGTGAGGCAGCCTGGTAACTACATCAGCGGATGTCTTTTGTCAAGCCCAGCAACTGCAGGCAGAGATATGCTACCTCTATTGTGGGGAATGAAAGTAGAGGTACCGAGACATTTCAAGATGCATTCCCCCCCTCATGGTGCATGCACGCCATTAGTATGTAAGTTTGGAGCTTCTGAGACCGCCACAGGATAGCTCTACCTTTTGAGACGTTGCCATTAAGACCAATTTATAAAGTTGAAGAGAAGGTTGGCAAGCTTGGATAAGTTCCAGAGAAGGAAAGTGTATGAATACACACCATACTAATCCTCGTATGACAGCATGGTTTTTCTTTCGAAACAACTATTTCAATACTTTGAATGAACAAGCATAGCCCATTGCATAACACCAACATTCAGAAAGGATTCTCATGCCTAGTCCATCCGTCTCTTTTTTACATTTTCTGTCCATCTTATATTTTCCTTCAATCTCTGGACTCTTTCATAGACAATCTTCATATAGGTAGTAACTCTAGGCCTGAGACATACCTACACAGCCTTGTCATATTAGACAAGAGCATAATATGAATGGTGCAAAGCCTTTGTGGTACCCACCTTTACAAGCTCCAGGTGAATGATTCGGTTCAGGGTCGTCTCCAGCAATGAATACGTCCCATAAAGGGCAGAATAGCCGGGTGAGTCCGACCGCCCATCACCGGCCAGCCGCAGTGAGCGCCCTCCTAGGCTTTGAACAAGATCTTGTTGTTTAGCTGTCCATACCTGTTGCGAAAAAAAAATGGAACCTTGTTCAAACAAAATCAAAAAATATCTAGGTTTATAGAAACTTATGAGGAAATTAAACAAGAGGGCAGGCAACACAAAAGAGCTGCACTACCTTCCTATTGGCAGTGAAAAAATTGTAAGGGTGCAGGCGAGCTGGTGGAAGTTAACCATAGTTTTGTTTAACCCGAGACTGGGGTATTTCGGAAAAGGGGACGAGAAGAAAAGAGGCCACAAGGAGGCGACGTCTTAAACACAGCTGTGTTTGAGACGTCGCCTTCCTTGTGGCCTCTTTTCTTCTCGTCCCCTTTTCCGAAATACCCCAGTCTCGGGTTAAACAAAACTATGGTTTCCTATTGGCGGCGTGTGCGAACTTTGCTATCATCATTATCATTTGTGACGTCATAGATAGGACAGACTGGGACAGACCACGGAGATTTTGGATCTCTCGGCTCGTCAGCTCGCTTCATGCGACGTTTGGGTAGCGTGCCGCGAAGCCTCTTTCACTATTGTAATATTTGGAGTGGGGCATTTAACGAAAGCTTGAAATTGTGGCACACGTAGCCGTGCTAACAAACATTTTTGGCACAGAGCTGTCTAAGCGCATGGGATAGTGGTGTGCTGTTCTTTACCCCAGTAGAAAAAGCTGGACAATGAAAATACGCTTTACCCCACTACAACATCTACCACGGCGAATAAGGTGTATATTTTTATTATGATTCAGACAAAATAAAACTGAGAAAGGAATATTTTCATCAAATTGAAAATAAGAAAGCGAAATTCGAGAACTTCTCGCATGTGGAGCTAACACTTCAGTGAAAGCGACACTTTGTGTGTCCTGTTGGTTGCAATGTGTTCAGTGAGTACTGGTCTCTTATTAGTCCCGAGCCGATTCCTTTTTTTAATTTTGTAAACCAGTAAATAAACATTTCCTCAAAAGAACTTGTAGGAAGAAGCGGTGGCTGGCTTCTGGAATCGTTTCAACTAAATCCCTGCTTATTCACCTAGTCGATGCGAAACATGCGAGACACCCTCGCGATTGAAGTTTTAAAGGAACACAGACACCCCCCCCCCCCCATTTTTTTTTTAAATTTTTTTCCAGGCGCTTTATTATGGTGTCGGAGGACTGCCCAATTAATAGTTTGCAACAGAGTAGCATATATTTTTAATAAAGCCAAAAGATGCAACTGCTCGAAACCGAAACCCGCGCACGGAGGTCGGAGAAGTGAAGAGGAGCGAGTGAAAGGCGGAAGTCACGTGGCTACACCCGACTGGGGCTTTTTCTTGTTTTCCCCTCTGCGTAGCAGACGACATGCATGGCGGCGTAGCGGGAACCGTTTGCCGTGCGATTCTTTTGCAGTTATGTTTGTTCCTCTCGCTGTTCTGTACTTCAAGATGAGTTGTTTTGTACACTGAGGAGTTGGAGATGAGTAGTGAGTGCCCGTGGTAAATTTCCATGATTGGCTCCAAAAAGAATACACCCAAGATGTTGCGTGAAGAGCTGGCTCACATGTCCTGCGTCCGAAAAAAAGTGGCATTCTGCGACAGAGTTTACGAAAGATCAACGGGATCGGGAGTCGGGACCAATGGCTGGCTGCAATTCCTGTAGAACATTTACGGGCACCTCGGAAAGCGGACGCTACCTGATTTATATGCTCCTTGTATTTTGTGGAAAGTAATTACATTGAGTTCGCAGGTGTCAAAAAGGAAATCCCATACCATTTAGTTGAGCGACGTTTCGTCCACAACATTTGTTTGTTATTTTTTTCTTTGTTTCTTCAGTCACAATTGTAAAAAAAAAAGTAAACATCGCAAAATGTTAAAAAAAAAGAAAGGTACGCTTTCACTGGGGATAGAACCCGGTCCTGCCGCGTGTGAAGTGAACGACTTTCCACTGAGCTACTAGGGGAACTCTTTCATCAGTAATAATGCAGCCGATAAACTGTAAGTTGGAAAGTTTGCTGCCGAAATTTCCTCCAGCAAAAGCACTCCCGGGTCGAAGTCGGGAAGCACCACGCATTGGCGACATTTGCACCTAGTAAAGAAATCGTACGCGTGCATATTCAACTCGAAGTACACACTTCGTGCTCGACATTTGTGCGAGCGGTGTCTTCAGCCACGAGAAGGGAGCGACGGCTTGGCGACGTCTTTGTGCAAATCGGCTTGGTGGTCGGGCGTGTCGTACGGGATGAATAACAATTCTTTTGATCAGTCCCACATTTCTCTCTTAAAAAGGCAAACAGAATTTGCCGGTACCTCGAGCGACAGTTCTGAAGTAGAGGTCCCACGCCCGTCGTCCGCTGCCATCGCCGTCCAGACCGCGAGTCCCACAATACGCGAAACGATGCACGCACAGAATGCTTCCGGTTCTCTGTGAAACTTTTTTTTTTTCAATCAATGTATTTGCAGCTTTTTAGAAGCCACCAAAATTGTGTTTCATATTCTTTTCTATTTTTAATATTGAGTGTGTGCCTTCAGTGACCAACGACTTTGATTAAATTTGGTGGTCGCATCAAAAGCTTAGAAAACGGCCCATGACCACAGAAAAGACAGTGAGCGAGACTCGAACCGGCCAGTTCTTGATCGGCAGCTTTTGGGCGGATAGAAACTGAATTTCGAGCCGCAAATTGTGTTCTGGGTAGTTGGGCTCTCATATGTCATGTACAACTAAAAACCTCGGAGAGCATAAATACCGTCAGTGTCCCCTTAAATTTAGTAAGTCAATGACACTTAAGCGTGCCAAAAAAGGAGGAGTACACCTGCTATAAATTATTACTGTTTGTATGTTTAATTTTTGCGGACCCAAATGCGCACAATGCGTGATTCGCTTCTCAGCGAGCGATTTGAAATTTGTAGACAATTCCTAGTAAAAAGCGGATAGAACAAATTAATCAATCGCCTCATTTTGCTGGGCCATGACCGACAATTAGAGAATTTATAAAATATATGTTGTTCTTTCGAGCAGAAGTCACGATGTGACAAACTTCTTTGTTATGTATTCGATTCGGGAGGAGCTAAGCGTCAATTGCTGACGAGCATTCGCTCGGTAGCAACTGTCGAGTCACACTTGGACAGAAGCGTCGGTATCGGCAAGCTCAATTTAGCTAGAACAAGTGTGCGGCGCTTAGCATCACAATTGTCCGTAAGTTTACAGCTAAGAAGACAGCACGTCATTTACTCTGGTGAATGCAAAACCTTTTTCTACAGCAGCCTCCACAGATTAAAAAAATAAAAACCAGAGAGGCTGTAAATAGCCCTGACGCATGCCATGCAAGCTGTAATGTGAGGCTCCAGGCTTGTTTTTGAATGTTTTAGAGTTTTTCTAATATAAAAAGCAACTTCGAGGCTCAGTTATTCACTAGACAGATCACTCACAAAAACGTCATACATGTTTCTTTGGTAAATAAACTGTTTTAATCGGCATAGATGCGAACTAGCGTAGCCACTCCGTGCTTTGGCATAGCGCGTCGTCTACTCGCATCCTACCAGCTCAGTCACAGGAGGATGTCCGCGAGGTGGTGCCACCAAAACATCTCGTCGCCAATACAGTTACTGCTTACATTGCTCAACATGTGAAGGTTAGCACAACCTAGGCAACTTACATCCATCACTGCTGGGAGAAGGTAGCACCTCTGGTACTCGTAGAACTGCGAGGAGTGGATATGGGCGACACCCATGATGTCAAAGAGGCGGAGCATCTTCGTGGGGCAGCCTCCACTGAACAGGATTCCAGAGCACATGAGGATGTTGCCCTCTGGCTTCCCATGACACCTGGGCTGGCTCTCCCAGATGCTGGAGTGGCCAGCACTGCAAGTGATCGTGGCCCGCACCATGGACCCAATGCAACGAAAAGAAACTTCGGTGGCCATGGAGAAGCAGTCAGGACATCGCTTTAAAAGCTTCTTCAGGCACGACTCAAAGACAATGTATTTGTTGGCGCCTGTCTGCTCCGTCCCCGGCGATGTGTCTGTTTCCGAAGTCCTTTGAGATGAGAAAAGAAACAAAGTTAAAATGCTATTAAAAAGAACAATTGATGTCACCTGCAAGTCCCTATCAGATGAAGTGATTCTACTCAACTCTTCATCCTCCGAGGAGTCTGGATGGAACTCAACGTCATCTTTGGGGTGTTGGAGGAGACCCAGAGGATCCCTGTAAAAAAACAAAAGGTTTGAATGATTATCACTAGAGTAAAAAGGGCCCATATCCAGAAGTTTGTCGCTCCTGTGGTTCAAGGTCAAGGCACCTGGAGTCTGACAGAAGCTTTTCGGAGTGTAGGCACCATGGAAACCAAGCTCTTAGTGGGGCATTGAAGTGTGGTGGAAACTACGTGCTCCTTGGGCCAGCCACACGCTCGTCACCCCACGGGTACTATGAAAGGCTCGGTTGTAACACATTGACGCTATTGACACCACCACAACGCTGACAACGCCACCAACGGCAAAGCTAATAACCACGCCAGCCTTGCTACGTCACGAATATGGAAAATCTTTTCTTTCTGTTTTTGTTTGCGCCGGATATCCCATGATGCATCGCGCTCTACGTTTGCTTCTCTTCCGAGCGCTTGCTTGAGTGCATCGTTTGGAACGAAAAATATAGCGAGTCGTTCAGAACAATAACATGCGATTATCATTTATGGTTATTACTCGTCATGCCCGACTCATTTCCGAACGAAATTTGATTATTTCATTAAACTTGAGGTTTAAACTTGAAGTTTAATTATCCATACCAATTCGCTCGTTCTGTCCTTTCATTATTTCAATTTTCATTTCCTTTAAAATTTACGGGTGGTTAGAATTAATGCAAAGTACTTCGGTAGGATGGCAAACATGAAAATGTCTTATAAAATGGAGGCATTACGGCAAAAGAAAGCATTGGGGCTTCCTTTTCTTTTTCTATATGCCAACCAGTGTAAAGGGAAAAACTGGAGTAAACGAAGGCCCTTCGCAGAAGATTAGGTCTTCCTCTCATCATTTCAAGAGGAGCCATTTTGTCAATGTCGTGCATATCAAGATTTATGTCAGAAAGTTATTGATATGCAATTTCAGTGCGAAGGAACACTTACTCATCCGGTTCCAAGTTAGCATCGTCAGTTTCAGCTTCCACCAGCACAGTAGTGGACGTGCTTGGGCTGCCTTGCTGGGGGACCTCTGTTTGCACCTCTTTGCTTGACTTGGGAAGTGCTGTCTGGGTTCCTGCAACGGCACACAATCACCAAGTTTAATTAGTGTCGTGATGTAGGCGAGTTGGTTCATGATAACGGAAATAAACAGCGCGCAAAAAATACACAGGACGAAAGCTTGTGTCGTTCACACCTTCCTTTCGTCCTGTGTATTTTTTGCGCGCTGTTTATTTCCGTTACCATGAACATCAGCGCTTGTGTCGTTCACACCTTCCTTTCGTCCTGTGTATTTTTTGCGCGCTGTTTATTTCCGTCACCAAGTTTAATTAAAGCCATTGTATATTGCAGCTTTAGCTGCAAGATTAAAGACACTAGGCCAAAAGTGCTACTCATAACGCCTGAAGCACAATGGCAATCTCTATATTGGTCCTGGCAGGTTGCCACGGAAACCGCACTGCCCGCAGCACCTAGCGACTGTTTGGTTGCTCCATTCGTTTGAGCACTCTGATTGAAGTTTGGAATATGGACAAGTGATGCTAATGTAGACACGGATTATCTTATGCAGAGAAAAAGCTCTAGGATAAAGTCCACTGCAAACTTTGCACGTTGGAAAGTCCTCGTGCTGGAGTACCGTCGGGGAACAGGGTAGCAGATGGTGTCCGAGTCGCGCCCCAGTGCGTTCAGCTATCCTCGGTGTAGAGGGTTGCCATAAAAACTGAGGCAGCTCAGACCGTCTCCGTTGTAACATACTGACCAATCGCGGCAAAGATGGCATGCGGAAAAAAGTGGCATTACTCTGGCAGCTGGCTGCCATATAGAGTGGCTCTTGGTTTAATAAGAGGCAAGAAAGTCCCTAAGCCTATGGTTTTAAGAAAGCAACGTTTCTAAATTCTTTGAAGTTTGCGTTTCTTGAGAGTTGTGATTGAGACCTTTGTGGTTTTAGATTTCATAGGTATGTATAAACCTAACAAACTTGTTCCAAGCTTTTGCTGAGAAGTTTATGCCACCCATAGATAATCTACAGGTCACATTTCACAAACTTTAAAGAGTAAACAACTTGTTAGTGCATACGCATATGGTGGAATCATTTAAAATACTATGAAAACCGAACATATCCTCACCTATGCTCCTGCCTGTCACCTTAGTTTGATTAGACCGCGACCGCGTCTTCATACATTCTGTCTGTACGAAGACAGAGACTTTTTCTGTCCCCTCTTCCTCTGCCGGTAGATCGTCAGGAACATCCATATCCGCATCTGGAACATTCATATCCGCATCTGGATCCAAGGGTGACTGGCTGCCAGAATCCATCGGCGTGTCTACTGCGGCCGCTTCCGCAATGGCTTCGTCGACAACCTGTGTTTGTAATCACATAACTAATGACTTCTTATGGCATACCCACATCCATAACGTCATTAACAATGCAAATTGCACGCTCGGCTACTTGCATTATAATTTTGCCCAAGTCCCCTCCTCTCTCAAGCTACTTTTATATCGGACACTCATCCTCCCAAAGCTAGAATATGCGTCAAGTATATGGGACCCGGCTCAACACCCTCTCATTGATGCAACTGAATCTGTACAAAAGCGATCAGTGCGCTTTATTTTATCTATTTGCATCTTGCTAACGTTTCATGAATGAAATCTTATCTTGGATTTCCTTACCTATGAATTTGAAGAAAGATTTCGCGTCTCTCTCTTTATTTATTAAATTTTCTTTGGTAACCCATCTTTGAAACAATAACTTTTTTTCGCAGCCTTCATACCTCTCATCCCGCATGGATCATCAGTTCAAAGTTGTCCTTCCTCACTGCAGCATAAATGTTTTTTTTATTCCTTCATCCCCAAAACCAGCTCAAAGTGGAACCGGCTTCCCCCTCCCATCTAGGCTCTTGACTAAGTAAATTGAATCAAACATTTTCAGAAATCGTCCCGTAGAGGTTTGGGCATGAGCAGCGTGTGAGCGTGGCAAGAGCGAGCAGAAGCGCAATGCACTCGAATGCATTGCCATGCATTCGAGTGATGCATGAGGGCATCACTCGAATGCCCTCATGGAACGAGCGCTCACGCAATGAAACACGTTCCCCTACTAAGGTGCGTTCATGTGAGCATCGGATAGGAAGGCACCCTAATTTCTACCGATAACCGTCGAGCGACAATCGGAAAGCTGTGCACAATGTGCGCTAAACCTCGACTTGGGGTACTTGGCCGACACTAGCGCGTCAGAACTACTGAGACCTAAGCCGAAGCTGCCCAGCCCGCCACATGTGCTCCAGAAAACCCGTATCACGATGTGTACAAGGTACCGAACGCTTTTAGAAACTAGCTTTTGACTCACATCTTTTCGTCTCCTCTTCGCCAACGCGCCACGATGAGGAGTGGGCCGCGCAACGATGTGACTGAAAATGGTTGGGACCGCATCAACCCTGAGCCTTGGGTACTTTTGTCCCAGACCAAACTCCGTCGCAAGCCTCGAGCTGAGCTCGTAGCTCTCCGGCGAGAAGTGAATGCTACACAAGCGGGACCTCTTCACGGGAACCCAGTGCTCCCTACGCACAGCGGCAATCCATTTCGCTCGTCGCTGGACGTCTCGCGGAAATGCGTGGAATGAGTCGTTCTGGTTCGCAGGAGCAGCCCGATGGTTGTGGCACCCCACCGCACAACAGAAGTCCCCTCCCATTTACGAAGAGACTAGCAGGATTAGCACATCACTGGAGACAAGGCACGTCGCAGCAATCAAAAACACAGGCAAAACCGACAAACGAGGAGCCATAAACGAACCACGTTGCGTTTTGTGACGTTCGAGCATCCGCGGTTGCCAATGTTGCCAACGAGAACGCCGTTTTCTTGAGGGGCGCGATTTGAGAAGTTCGGGCTCGCTTTAAAATTCAATTCTGCATTAATAAATTCGGGCGTCGTGCGGAAGATGCTTTTAAAGGTAACGGCTATGGTGTCTAATCGTTTTCTTGAAGACAAAATTTGACCGGACATTCCCTTTAAGAGACGAAAAGCGCAAGCTCGCTGGACAAGAAAGCAGGCAAAAAAGAAATCTTGGATGAAATATCTCTCTTCTATAAGTAGTTTTGTTACGGCTAAAGAGGTTTGGGATCGTGTACGCAAAATCAAAGGTGACTACCGGGCTTTTACCATTCCAGTATTTAATCTGCCTTTGGGGTCAGTCAAAGACGTTGCTAATGTTCTTGCGAAGCATTTTCATAGTGTATCTAGCTCTGATAATTATAGTGCTGAATTTAAACAGTTTAAATCTCGTGCAGAGAGTTGCTCTATTTTTATGGGGGGGTCTAACTCGCAGCCATATAATGGGCCCTTTACAATGTGCGAGCTAGAACAAGCTCTCGATGTAAAAAAGATGTCTGCTCCAGGGCCAGACACATTGCACTATGCTATGCCTCGAAAGTTGTCACGTGACGCGCTCAGAACACTCCTTTTTTTCAACTCTCTGTGGGAGAAGGCATGCTTTCCCCAGGCATGGAAGCGGGCTCACATCATACCACTCCTGAAACATGGCAAAGACGCTACACTCCCTTCCAATTACCGACCCATTGCACTCACTAGCTGCCTGGGGAAAACGTATGAGAGACTGATTAACAGACGGTTAATGTACCTTTTAGAAAAAGAGAATCTTTTTGCAAATAACCAGTGTGGCTTTCGTCGCGGACGATCTGCAGTGGATCACTTAGTCCGCCTGGAAACAATGATCCGTGAAGCTTTCGTGCATAAACAACACTGTGTCTCGGTTTTCTTTGGCCTAGAAAAAGCATACGATACCACATGGAGGTATGGAATACTTAAAGACCTTTACAACTATGGTATTTGGGGCCGGATGCTGAAGTGTATAGGAGACTTTTTAACGAATAGGACATTCCAGGTTCGATTGGGCTCTACTTTGTCTCATCCATTTGTTCAAGAAAACGGAGTTCCTCAAGGGGGCATCCTCAGTGTTACCTTGTTTGCAGTCAAGATAAATTCCGTTGCCACAATTCTCCCGTCTTCCATCTCATATTCACTTTACGTAGACGATCTTCAAATCTCGTGTTCCTCCTGTAACAGTTTCACCTGTGAACGCCAGCTTCAGTTGGCTCTAAAAAAACTTGGTACTTGGGCAGATGAAAATGGATTTAGGTTTTGTCCAGAAAAAACGGTTTGTGTGCCATTCTCCTTGCGCCGTGGGCTGCCTTTGAATCCAGACCTCGAACTGAAAGCCATGGGGTTGCCTGTTAAAAATGAGCACAGGTTTCTGGGGGTGATCTTCGACAGGAAGCTTACTTTCATTTCCCACTTGAAGTGTCTGAAGGAAAAATGCCTTAAAAAGTATGAACCTCTTAAAAGTATTGGCTAAGAAGACTTGGGGAGCAGATAGAAGATGTCTGCTGCGCCTATACAATTCCCTTGTGCGATCCCGTCTTGATTATGGTGCTATAGTGTATGGATCAGCGCGACAATAGGCTCTGAAAATGTTAGATCCAGTGCACCATCTTGGATTACGACTCGCCACGGGCGCTTTCCGTACATCCCCCATTCTGAGTTTATATGCCGAGTCCGACGAGTTGTCGTTGGATAAAAGAAACCAATATCTAAGTATGACATATGCCTACAAAATATTAGCTAACCGTCGCCATCCAACATATGATTCCATAAAACGTTCAAGGTTTTTTCGCCTTTTCGAAAACAAGCCCAGCATTGTACGCCCATTAAGCCTCCGCCTTCCTGACTATCATACCTCTCTTCAGATTTCTCCCGATGGGATGTCCCTACTCATAAGTTGACTGTATTGCTCCCTGGGAGAGACTGCCGGTTTGTTGCGATTGGTCACTTACGAAATGTAATAAGCACTGTGTTACTTCAGTGGTTATCCTGCAAGATTTTCAAGAGTTGCAGACAAAGCATGCTGATTATTGTCCCCCGCAGGGGACACTTGTGAAATCAGGTGTTTGGAGAGTGGCGTCTCCACGGACCCCGAGCCATGCGGGTTCGCCCGCCCACGTCTGGCTGTGCGTGGCTTTCCCGTGTCCGGGGAAAAGGGCATCCTGGTGGTTGAGCCGAGCCCGGGGTAGGTTTGGACCCTTCGGGGCCCCCTGGGCGAGGCAATACACCACTTCGGCCCCCGCTTCCCGTAGACGGGTGTCCTGGCTTGGCCCGACCAGGATGATTCAGTCAGTCGCCACTTCTACTATCCCCTCCCTTCTTTCACTCTTATCTTCTCCTTCTTTTCACTCTTCTCATTTCTCTTCTTTCCCTTTTCAACTCCTTTGGCGGCAAGGGCTAACCTTGGGTGGCGACAGAACTCTCTCTTTACCCACACTTGGTTATAGCATCCTAGTAGCAGTGGTAGAGTAACATACTCAGACAAGCCAGACCTGTTATGAGATGTTACCTATCCCCTCGTTGGACTCCGTGGTGGGTGGTGCGCTACAGATGCCGAAGTTTTTTGCCCTTCATATGGCGCCCCTCCTCTCTAAACCCGGTTCAAGGCAGGCTTCCAAGAGGCCTCGCCCTGAGCCCCATGTCACTGAAAAAGCCCCTGAATTGGGAACATTTGCAAAGTTTTTCGTCATTCACTCGAGCCTTGAAGACAAACCAGTGTCGAAATTGTCCCCCTTTGTAGTAGCCAAGGTGCTAGAAAACCTCATTGGGTTCTCTTACAAAGCGAAAAAACTCCACTCCGGCGACCTTCTCGTTGAAGTAAATACAAAAGTTCAAAGTGAGGCACTCTCCAAGATGACCAGCATAGTGGACGTCGAAATGTCCGCGAGTCCTCACCGGACGCTCAACACGATCCGTGGAGTCCTCTCTGAAGAAGACTTCCTCGATGCTAGCGAGGAAGAAATTCTGGAAGGACTAAGAGATGCTGGTGTTGTCGCTGTCAAACGTATTATGTTCCGGAAGGATGGCAAGGAAACTCCATCAAAGCATGTAATCTTGACCTTTGCGAGACACACCCTCCCTGAAACTGTGAAGGCGGGTTATCTCCAGTGTCGCATTCGTCCCTATGTTCCCAACCCGCAACGGTGCTTCTGCTGCCAGCGCTTTGGGCATGGGTCACGCAGTTGTCGAGGAAAAGAAACTTGTGCGAAATGTGGAAGCCAGGAGCATGTTGCTGACATCTGCGAGGCGGCGGCCCGCTGTAGTAACTGCAGTGGGCCCCACCCAGCTTACTCCCGCACCTGTCCCCTTTGGCGTCAAGAAAAAGAAATTCTTTCCTTAAAGGCAAAGGAGAATATCCCCTACCTGGAAGCTAAGAAAAAGCTGTCGTTCCTCGCAAAGGGAGGTTACGCCGAGGTGGTGCGCAGGGGTCCTGCACCACGCTCGGAGACTAGGGCCACTCAGGTCTCTCCTGAGATCCTGGCGGCTGACCTAAGGGCCCCATCCCATCAACAGGAGCGGCATGCTGCTCCCCTGGGCAAGGACGGGCCAGCAATAGCCGTGCCCGCCCTCCCCTTCAAGACAATGGAGCAGGGTCAGCGGGCTCCCCCTTCTCGTAGGGAGGGCGCCTTAGCTGCTACCTCTGCTCAGGACGGGCCAGCACCGTCTGCACCTGTCAACACTGGCCGCTCTCCTAAGGAGAAGAAGCGAGGCCCTCGGCCTCAGTCCCTGGAGAGGCAGCCAGCAACCAAGGAGCTGCGTGGCTCGCACGCAGGTTCCTCGTCGGGAAAAGAGGTGGAACAGATGGATGGGGTAGAACCCCTCCCCAGTACATCGACCACCCTTCCACCTAGTTCTGGTCGTGGCCGCGGATTGGGGCCCCGCGGCACAGACCCTCCCGGGCTAGCAGGCATGTCTGCCTGCGGGGCTCAGGAGAACACTGGCGCTGCCTTGTCTGCCCCCTCATCGACTCCGGGTTCTGACCAGGATGAGATGGAGTGGCAGACTACGAAGAAACAAAAATCGAAAAAACTCGTAACTCCTCCGAAGTGAGGCAACTGACTCACTTTTCCATGTGCTCCAGTTTTTGTACCTAAAATGGCTTCAGTACTCACGCAGTGGAACTGTCGTGGCCTTCTAAGAAACCTGGATGATGTAGAGCACCTTCTGGAGGAGTACAAGCCACGAGCGCTGTGCTTGCAAGAGACTCATTTGAGTCCCAGCCGTACCAATTTCCTCAGACGTTACCAGGTTTTCCGGAGGGATCGTCAGAGCTCTGTCAGTTCCTCTGGGGGAGTTGCGGTGGTTCTCCCGAGAGAAGTTCCCTGCACAGAGGTTCCATTGTCCACACCACTTGAAGCAGTGGCTGTTCGGTTCTTGCACCATAAGGCTCTTACAGTATGCTCTTTATATCTGCCACCCTCCTTTACTTTGAAATGTTCAGATTTTAACTCGCTGTTAGACCAGCTTCCTCAGCCTTTCCTTTTGATGGGCGATTTTAATTGTCACAACCCTTTATGGGGGAGCACACGTCAGGATGTCAGAGGAAAAATTGTTGAGTCAGGTTTAACCACACGAAGTCTTTGTCTTTTTAATACGGGCCAGCCAACCTATTTTAGTCCATCATCTTTGTCATGAACTTCCATCGACCTTTCAATTGGTTCTGCTAGTTTACTTCGAGATTTTTCCTGGAGTGTGGATTCCAATCCACGTGGAAGCGATCATTTTCCTACTCTTTTAACCTGTAGCGTAGCCCCTCTTTTAATTCATAGACGCTCGCCTCGTTGGAAGCTTGACAAGGCTGATTGGGGCCTTTTCAAGCAGGCATCGCTTTTAGCATATTCTCGTCTCGAAAGGCTTACAATTGACGAACTCACTCATCTTTTAACCGAGCGCATTATCACAGCAGCCAAGCTGTCCATCCCACAGACATCTCAATTTCTTCCCAGGAGGCCAAAGCCCTGGTGGAATTCGGAAT